GGAGTTGTACATACTACTCTCTTAAATTTCAAAAATAATCGCCATGTGTTACTATTCCCTTTCTAATCTCATATTTTGTATTACTATTTTTCTTGACTGGCGTAGCTGAGGGCTTGTCTATTTTAATTCGTTCCTACCTTCCCTGCCCATAAAGAACAATCTAAGTATGAATTATACTGCTTCTAAGAGGAATTTTGCCTCTCCCCTCCCAGCCACTTTTTGAACTGCTGTTTCCAGGAGTCATGATTCCAGGGAGCTGCAGAGGAAGGAGATGAAGGTTTGAACAGTGGTCAGGCTGTCCTTCCAAGCACAGGCATATGGCTTTCTGTCTGGTCCCAGATGCCTTGGAGGATCTCGTGGAAGCCACACCCCTGTCTCCAGAAATTTGCTTGTGTTTGAATCCTGGCTCTCCTATTTACTAACTGGGGGAAGTGGGGCAAGCCGCATGGCCCCATGGCCTCTCTTTGCCGCAGCTTCCCCATCTGCAAAATGGGAATAATAAAATAGCGCTGCCTTCATAGGGTCATTGTGAGGATTAAAGGTGAATGTTTGTATAGCACTTAGGGCGGAGCCTGGCACATGGCTGTGTTCAAGAAGTTAGCTTTCTTTTTTTTTTTAAAGATTTTATTTACTTATTTGAGAGAGAGAGAATGAGAGACAGAGAGCATGAGAGGGGGGAGGGTCAGAGGCAGAAGCAGACTCCCCGCCGAGCAGGGAGCCCGATGCGGGACTCGATCCCGGGACTCCAGGATCATGACCTGAGCCGAAGGCAGTCGCTCAACCAACTGAGCCACCCAGGCGCCCAAGAAGTTAGCTTTCATTGGCATCATTCCTGGTGTTCTCCTGCAGGGTCTTTTCCCCCTCCCCCCCCACAGAAGGTACTAGTGCTTCCCCACCCCAAGGGCCAGATCTGAAGTGGCTTCGTGAACCGAGGCACACTGTGGGGGTGATGGAAGGTTGCCCCAAAGAGGAAGAGGAAAGGAGGGAGGAACTGGGGAGGGCATGGTGGAAGCCGGCAGAGGTAGGAGGCTGGGAGAGCTTCCCCTGGCCTGGAGAGATGGGGCTGTGCCTCCCCTGGTAGCAAGGACAGTGTCCCGCTCTGGGCAGCGCCCTGAGGATGTAGTCACCCTCCAGGGACACTGCTGCGTGGTGTCCTTGTGCCGCCCCACGGAGTTCGGCCGTGGGGCCAGCGTGCAGTGCCTGGAGTGGACTGAAGACCACAGGGTCCCTCGCTGTTGTTCTGGGCCTTTAAAAACCCCTAGGGTAAACCAACTAGTAGCGTGCGGCTCGAAGCATGTTAAATGTGATTCCGAAGAATTAAAAAAAAAAAAAAGAAAAAAGACGTGATTTCACATAGCCAGGGAATGTGGAAACCCAAATACATACCAGCTTCCCTTGCCTTCTGTATTTTGAGTTTCTCTGTGAAAGCTTTTTCAGGACCTTCTCATTCTCAGAAAGTTCTGCTCCAATGTTCAGGGTGATGTGCGTCACCCATGGGCTCCAGTGAGGGTCCGGGGGTGTGGGCAGCACCCCTCCTTCTCCCTGGCCAGCTGGCGCCAACCCTGCCCCCGGGCACCGTCTGCCTGACTCAATCTGGGGGATGGCTGGGCGACTTGGGGGGAGGTGTGTGGCACTTTCCAGCAAGTGCTGTGGTTTAGTTTGTACCCGGATGCAGCCATAGTGAGGAGCCGCCGGGGAGCCCAGGCCTGTGAGCGGCCACAAGGCGCAGAGGCAGTGGTTGGATAGCTGGGGAGGCTTTGGCCTCTCGTCTTGAGCAGGAAGGGGAGGAGAGGCCTGGCAGGAGCTGGGAAGCAGGGCTCCCCACCCCAGGCTGGAGGGCAGGTGCTATCACCCTCACTCAGTCTGGAATCTTCGGGGCCCGCGGGAACCTCCGTCAGGAGGCTGGCCTGACCGGTAGCATCAGGGGTGAGGTGGGCCTGTGGGTCAGGGTGGGTGCTGCGGGATCAGGCGGAGGGACCTCCAACGCGGAGGGGTAGGGGCAGGGCCCTGTGTTCCCGGTGTCTTTAGGGTCACACTTCAGAGGCTTTGTTGTCATGAAATCTGTAAATATCTCACAGGCCCCCACCCCCGGCCAAGCAGTCTACTCAAGTGCTCGCTTAAGGGTCAATCCTACGGCTCAAGAAGCTCCTCGCCTAAAAGTCAGGAACGATGTGGGCCGGCTCGGCCGCTCACACTAGTTCTCAGATGCTTCCATGACCGAGGCCTAAGTAGCTTCTCAAAAAAGGCGGGGTTTTTGTGGAGTCAGGGAGCCAGGAGGGGTCATGTTTTCTCCCAGACCCCACGCAGCAGGCACAGACCCCACTGCCGCTCTGGGGAGGGGGCAGGCGTGGAACTCGGTGCTTAGGTGGCAGGGGAGGGCAGAGGACCGAGGCTGTGGCCAGGAATGCTGCGGGACCTGGGTCTGAGTGGTCCTTTCACCAGAGACCCCGGCCCTGCCCCCCTCCCCTGCCCAAGGCCCACTGTGAGGCTTTCCGAAGGTTCCAGCTGCAGCCTGGTTTGGCATCTGATGCCCCCACTTCAAGCCTCTGTCTGGAGGATCCCCCAAGGCCAGTGATGCCCCAGGCCCTCCGCAGGCTGCCGTCTCTCCCCTGGCTGCCGTGCTCTCGGTCCTGCAGCAGAGCCCTGACCTGTCGCCACACAGCCTGGGCTTTGCATGTCACCGCTCCTCTCCCTCCCCTCTCATCTCTTCTGCCAATTCTCTGGAAGATGAGGAGCAGCACAGGGGCCCAAGGCGCCCCGTCCCTCGGGGCACAGATGGAGAGACTGAGGCCCAGCGGCCGGGAGACTTAGGACCACAGCCAGGTCCCCTGCCACTTGCATGGTGTCTGTTCTCCCTGTCCTTCCTGCTTCCAGCCACGCTTTCCCCAAATTACTAGTACTTCACAGATTCCGTGGCCTAGACCTATGAGGAGGCTGACAGGAGGCCTGTTGCCCCCCGAGATGTTTCTCACAGCATGGTCTGAGAGGTGGTGAGCTTCTCCGCCCGGGGCCTGAGCAAGCCTGGGGCGGAGGGTATTGGGCAGGTGTCTGAGAGGCCCTTTGTGACCTAGATGGCACATGAGTGCCCAGACGCGCTGGTGGAGGCCCTCTGGGTCTGTGAGCCCTGGAGCGAGGTGCTGAGTCGGGCGTGGCGATGGCTCGCCCACCAGGCCTCTCTTCTTCCCCCACAAGGTCCTGTATGGGGCTGAGTGCCCGGCTCAGGGGGGCACACAGGACCAAGAGGGACTCTCTGTGTGGCACTGAGGACCTCACTGACCAGTCCAACCCCGTACTGTTTGCTCGGAATGTGAAGGATTCCAGGGAATCACTCTTTCTTGGTTCAGGCAGGGAAGGTGATCCCGCTCCTCCTGCTGGTGTTGCTCCCCCACCCTCTGGCCCCTGAGCGCTGTGCCTCCCAGGGGGCTTCCTTGAGCTGCAGGCACGGGTACTGCCCCCGAAAACATGGGCACACACCTGCCAGGCGGCCCTGGCCCGCGGCTGAGCACGGGCTCCAGCACCGGGTCTGTCTCGAATTCACCTGGGCCCTCAGACAGGCTCCCATTCTGGGCTTCAACTGTCTGACCTGGGAACTGGGGACTTTTGACTCGACCTCCTAGGGTCCTTCTTGTCTGAGACCTCCCTTGCTCACTCTGGGGGCACCCAGAAGGGAGGGGGGTGGGGCTGGAATCGGGACAGCATCTCTGGGGGCACACATGGGCAAGGCCACAGCAGAATGGGGAGCCCTGGATGACAGGCTCCTGCCCACACTCCTCAGTCCTTCAAGCAGTCCTTCTCCAGCGCCTCATGGAGGGCGGCAGGGTCTCAGCACCTACCCCGTGCCAGGAAAGCGTTGAATCCCAGCACGACTCAGTGAGGGAAGGTGCGAGGCTGTGGCCAGGCTTCATTCCATCCTGCTGACTGGGCTAGGGAGTGGCCCCAGGACCCTTCTGGAGGAACTGCTTGGCTCCAAGAAGCCCTGCCTTTCCGCCCCGTTGCTGCCGGGGGCCCCGAGGCATGAAGAGCGTGAGAACCAAAGTGAGGTGGAGGGCTGGGCAACCCCCCTGCCGCTCCCCCGGTGCCTGCCCCTGTCACGGCAGCTCACTGGCTCTGTGTCAGCATGTGAACCAGGCACAAGGGCATTCCCATTTTACGGATGGGGAAACCGAGGCCCAGAACAGGACTTGCCCAAAGTCACATAACCAGTGAACAAGGAGAATTGGCCTTGGCCCCTAGAGCTCTGATTCTTAGACCAAGTGCCTTGCCCGTTCTCACTAGTGTTAATCCCAAGGAAGGAAGGGGCAGGTGGGTGCAGAGATACCGTAAGGGCTCATGCTAGGGGAGGGGGAGAGGGGCCCTCCTTCTGCTTCTTCCTGCCCCGACCCAGTGTCCGGGACCTTGGGGATACCACGGCCAGGGCAGGAGAGGGAGGGCCGGCGGCCACGGGGTCTCCCTCCACCTCCCACTCCCACCCCCTTCAGCCTGAGCCAAGTAGATTCTTGTCCCTTCCCTTCCTCGGAGACGCCACCTGCCTACAGAAGGCTCTCCCTTTTCTCAGTCTCACTAGGCGTGGTGAACACCCTCCCCCCTTCCCTGTGCCCGGCATTCAGGAGGTACTCAGTATTCGAGTATGGCAGTGGGTGGCTGGTAGAGTGAGCGATGGTGTGAGAAAGGGAGGGGGTGAGAGTGTGAGGCTGCAGGAAGAAGGGAGGCGGAGGAGGGGGACCCTGAGCAGGGGTGAGTGGGCTAGAGCTGCCCCCACCCCGGCACCAGGGTCCCACCCTCAGGGATGTGGGCCCCTTGCCACACAGTGGGCTTGGCCTTGGGATAAACCCACAGGGTTTCCACATTGGGCTGGATGCCTTCTTGGTCAAGCTGCGGTCCTGACAGGTGGTGGCTGTCCTTGCCACATTCTGCTAGGGGAAGGAGGAAGCCCAAGGACGTCCCCTGAGCCCGACCTCGCTCTGGCCAGCCCAGTCGGCAGGCCACAGTGCAGAACCACAGAGTAGAAAAACCTTGTTTTATTCAGCCCAGGCCTGGGCAATCTTGCTCTGTGATATGGCCAAAATATAAAAAATAAAAACCAACAACCGACAAAATACCATTGTCGAGAAGAGTTAAGTACAAAATTGGGCCTGGCATCCGGAATCCCTGTGGTTTCGGTCTGCGTTTGCTCCCTGAGGCCGGCAGGGAGGGATGCCTGTGGCTTCCAGCTGCCCCTGCCTGTGGGGTGGGGGGGCCAGGTCAGTCCTGGCAGGAGGCTTCCTGGGGAGCCTGGCCGGCTTTGGGAAGTGGGGAGATTGGCCGCCTGTCCATCCTCTGCGAGATCAGGATCTAAGGAAAGAAAGCGAGCAGGTCAATGGTAGCTGCGGGGCAGGCCCCTCACTCAGCTGTGTGCCCCGCGGAGGCCCAGATCCCACGAGGGAGGGAGGGCAGGCGCGGTGGAACCCTCAGCCCCAGCCTCCAGAAGACGGGTGTCCGGGCCTCCCCCACCCACACAGGGGCCGTCTCAGCACCCCCCCGCCCCCCACCGCCCTGAGTTCCACAGTGTTCTCTAGGCCATCAGTAGAGATGCTACTGTCTGGGAACACTGTCTTGTTTTTTCTAACAAAGTGCTTTTTAAAAAAGCCTCCTTCCTCCTCTTCTGAAACATGACCGAAAGCCACAGGCGTCAGTCCCGTGGCCTTTCTGGGAACACTGTGTCCGGCTTCCTGTGTGCTGGCCCGGCCGCCTGCCTGCGGTCAGGGTACCAGAGACGCTCTAATAAGACTTGAGCCTTTCCAAGCACTTATGTAAAGGGCTTGGAAAGAAGGGCCTCCGCCTTCCCTGGCCCGCAGGCCCCCGGGGAAGCCGGAGGGGGGCACGGGGCTGCTTCTCCGTCTGCCGTGTTGAAGGGCCTAGCTCATGGCATGGCCGGGAAATGGGATGCTGTTTCAATCCACCCTTCCCAGCGGCAGGCAGGACAAGAGAGGGATGTAGGCTCCCTGGTTCCCTGCACACCCCTTGGTCGCCTTTTTTTCTTGCGTGCCCTTTTCTTCCTTCCTCTGTCTCCTTCCCCAATTGCTTCCCAGAAACCCTCTACCATTTAGGTGACCCCTGAATTGGGAATGGCTGAATGAGACAGGACCTGAGGGAGGAGGAGGTCAGAAACCCAGGCCTACGAAAGAGCCAAGGTGCCAAGGATGGGGCAGGAGTCAGTTGTTTTAAACATACTCTGTGACCTGGACAATTCTGATCAAATTCAATTTATGAGGAATCTAATCTCTATACTGAACTAGAGGCTTCTATTCTCATTTTTAATATACACAGGGTGGTGGGGGTGGCGGTGGGATGTGTGTGTGTGTGTGTGTGTGTGTGTGTGTGTGTGTGTGTGTGTGTGAACGGTTAGCTTAGTGGCTGCAGCTAAAGGGTCCTGACTCTGATCACACGCTGAGCCCTAATCTTGGTCACACACTGAGCCCTGACCCTGGTCACACACTGAGCCCTGAGCCTGGTCACACACTGAGCCCTAATCCTGGTCACACACTGAGCCCTAATCCTGGGCACACACTGAGCCCTGAGCCTGGTCACAGGCTAAACTTCATACCTGTCAATCATTAATAAGCATGTGCTTTTGTCTCTGGGCCTTGAAATCTCTGCCATTTGTCCCCCAGCTGATGGACTAAAGTTCTAGGACTACTCCTGTTTTATTCTGTTTTTGTTTTAATGGAAAAGAGTTGCTTTGAGCTGATCAAACATTTTAAATTCCCATGAAGCGGGGTGGGGTTTCTTGGTGAGTTCGTAAGCAGAAGGTACCTCTGCAAAGTACTTCACATGGGGAATCAGGAGCCAGACTGAAGACAGACAGCCTAGAGCAGTGGCAACTGAGCCCCTGTCCCGGAGCCATGTGCCAAAGGCCTGGGCCAGAGTCCTTCAGCTTCTGGTATACCTGGGCCCAGATGGCAGCTCATCCCAACCAGCATCAGTTCTAATCTGGGACTGTTTCGTTGAATCCACTCGCCACAGACACTGTTGGTCACGCAGCTGCCATTCACGGGGCACGGCTGGGAAGGTTCTCCAACACCAGACATCAGGCCTTTCACTCTTTTAATCTCACAAGCCTACCTGGGAAGGGGCCTCTTTTGTAGTTGAGAAAAGTAGTTCAGAGAGGTGAGGCGACCTGCCCTATGTCACAGACAGACTCCCCCCCCCAAGTATGCCGCTTCCTGCTGCTGGTTCCCCCTTGGGAGAGCTTAGGGAGCCACACAATCTGGCCCCAGATCAACAGCCTGCGGCTGGAGCCCCACCACGAGCACTCAGCTCGGGGTGGGCATGGACGAGGCTCCTCCCGCGCAGCCGTGTTTGGCTAGGAAGGTGACCCAGAGTGCAGGCACCTTGTGTGGTTCACGTGGCCCCCGCCTGTTCCCTGGGGAGGACAGGGGCCAGGGCAGCACTTACTGGACAATTTTGCAGTTTGTTGTAGAAACATAACGACCTGTGTAGTGGATGTTGCATCTCACCACGTTGTTGGTGAAGTCAGACTCCAGCACAATGTACTTCGGGTTCACGTGGACCTGAGGAAGAAGGGGAACAGAGGGGAAAGGGATCTGGTCGGGGGGCTGCATTTCACCTGGTCACCAGGGAAGGTGGTGGAGATGCACACAGACAGACATGGAGGGGACAGAGAGGAGGAGAAAGACCACTTGAGACCAAGAGCTATGGAGACAGAGATCCAGTGACGCAGATACACGGAGAGATGCAGAGAGAGGGAAGAAGAGACAGCTCGTGGTCGAAGAAAACATCACCAGGTCACTCTTATTGGAAGATGGGAAGCTGCCCCAGAGCCAGAGCCCAGGCCAGGGGGGCCCTGCGTGGGGCGTTCAGGGTCGGAGAGCCTGAATCACTGCCCCAGGGATCACAGCAGTGAATGAGGGGCCGAGCAGGGATCCCGGGCCTGGTCTCCCGAGTCCGAGCCTGGCACCCTTTGACCACACATGTCCGTCGAGATGACCCATGCAAGGGCTGTCCGCTGCCAGGTGGCATCTCCCGCCCTGGACCCGGGGATGCCTGACACTAAGAGGATGGCCCAGGCATAAGCTGTGCCTTTTGTCTGCAGAAGACCTGTCGGGACACAAGGAAGCCTTCTGAATGTTGGATTAACTGGCTGCACTGGGGTAGGCTACACCCAGATTTACAGTTGCAGAACATCTAAGAACATGTTACTTTTAAATCCTTTACACTCCCCCAGGGCAGGAAGTGTGCATTACTGATGTGGGTTGAATCCGAGTGCCTGGAACTCAGAGGGACCTTTGTACACATGTGGTGAGTGGATGAACACGGGAAGGAGAAGACCCCTGACAACCCTGGCCCCTGGCTGAGTCTGAGCAGAGGGGCCACCGAGCCTGCTGGGAGGTGCTGGGGATGGGGCCGTAACCAGAGGCTCCCAAGTTGCTGTGTTCCAAATGCAGCCTTCCCAGCAGGCCGTGTTCATGTGGCTCAGAGCGCCTCCCAAGCCGGTCTTCCCTGCTCACTGCTCCGTCTCCTGCTCTTGGGTGTAGAGCAGCGGGTCCAGGGGCAGAATGGTTCCCCGCCCTTGCTTCGCAGCTACATGGAGGAGGCCACAACGCCCCGGGCCCTGCGCAGGCTGCATGGACGTACCACACTGGGCTGTGTGTCCTTGACATGCTTTTCTACTCGCTCCCACCCCACCCCAAGGGAAGTGGCACTGGAGCAAGCATACACTGGAGAAGGGGGTCAGGCCAGACGGGACTCTTGGTCCCAGGGGCCCTTGGCTTTGCGGCGGTCCCTGTGAGGAGCGCCGGGTCCCTCTCAGAGCACGGCAGCGTCCTCCTGCGGAGGGCGCAAGCCTCCCGTCTGCAGACAGGGGGTCCACCGCATAGCTCTCCAAGTCCTCTGTCCCCCAGGGAAGACAGCATCACCACCTCTAGCATGGCCACACCTGGGCCCAAGGTTCCTTGTCTTTATGGAAAGGGAGCCTCTGCCTGCTTGAGGCTAAGACCCTCCAACGGGCAGAGGACACCTCCCCGTGATGGCCAGGACATGACGGCCCCCGGCTCCGCAGCCGGGGACGAGGGGATGCCCTCGAGGCCGAAGCGCACCCCAGAGGCAGGGACATGGAGCGGGGGCGGCAGGTAGGAGGGAGCGCCCCAGACCAGGAGGCGCACCTTGAGGATGTAGTTCCCGGGCTGCACGTCGGTTATATCAATCCACTGGCAGTCGATGTCCGCGTTGTAAGTGTCATAGCAGCCGGGGCTCAGGCCCTGGGGAAAGGGACAGGAGTAAAAGCTGGGGTGCTGGGCACTCCTCAGAGCCACCCAGTGCCACTCCAGCAGTCTGGGCCCCTCCTTCCTCCCTTCTAGAGCCCGCTGGGTGGATGGACCAGACAGAAAATAGGGAGGCGTAACAGCCAGGTGGGAGGGACTGAAGGAGGGGGACGCCTGGAGAGTCGGATGGAGGAACAGATGAAGAGACAGACGGGCAGGATAGATAGACACTCTATAGGTGGCTGGACAGACTGACAGGAAGGCGGATTTGGGTGGACAAACAGGCAAAGGAACACCATGCCATCCAGACTTTGTTGGAATGTTCCTTTCTTTCTAGGGGCAGACACGCCTGGGAGCGATGCAGGAAGGGACCCCGTGGTGACCTGATGACGGGTGAGAAGACCCGTGCTCCCACCGAGCGGAGCGGCCAGGAGCCCGCACTCCTGGGTCCCCGCCCTGGCCCTCTCGCCCGGCCGGACCTGTGTGTGAGAGGTGCACGCGTAGCGCTTGAGGTTGCCAAAGTCACAGGTGCTGTCCTCCAGGCAGAAGCTGGCCTTGTGGCCCTCAGCCACCTTCTTGCCTGTGGCTGCATCCAGCAGGTCATAGTGGCTGAACTCATCCATGCTGTGGTAATGTCTGGGGTCAAAGGACAGGAGGAGGAGAGAGAAGGGGGCCTAGTCACCGCTGGGCTTCCTGAGACGGTCCAGCCTCCTGACCAATCCTTGGGCCCCTGTGTCCCCCAGGGCCGTGTCTCTGGGGCTCCCCTCCTAGCCAGATCACCCTAGAGAGCACCTCCTTGGGACTCCTCACTTCCTTGTTGGGCTCCCACCTGGACTAGCCTGCCATGGGCCATTCCCTGTATTCTAGACATTTCCGTCCCTTAAGACCGATCCTCTTCCAGTCGAGTTTAGCTAAAGAGCCCTTGCCCTGGGGGTGGATCCATGGCAGGCCCTCCCACCAGCACCAGCTCCTCCCGGGGCACTAACTGGGGGGAGGAGCTCAGGCACCGAGGGGGCGCCCACCCCGGCCCGCCGGGGTTGGGGGCTGTGGGGGCGTGGGGGGTGGGGCACTCACTGGTGGCAGCTGTGCCACTCCCACGTGTGCCGTGGCCGGTTTGGGAGGAAGTCCGCGGTGCCCTGGTTCTTCACGCGCTGGGGGAAGCGTAGCAGCACCCGCACGTCGTAGTCGGTGGCCTCGGGGGTGTAGGCTGTGCTGCAGGGACAGGTGAAGAGACGGGCGTGGGGCTGGGTCCCGCGGCAGCAACACCCGGAATGGGCCGACTTGTCCCTGAAGATCCTCTCCACTGACTCCCCGTCCTGTGGCTGCGGCTCAGGCCTCTCCCCAACTCTCGTGAGCACACGGGCTGGGCGGTCCCCTCCTTTCTGGCTTCCAGCACGTGGCCGGCAGCTACCAAGGAAGCCTTTCTCAAGTGGCATCAGGCCTGACAAGGACAATCACACCTGCAGGTGACTCTCTGCTGGGGGCAGCCTCGGGGAGGGGGGGGCACATCAAAATCTTTGGAGGGCTTTTTAAAAGGGGCCCTATCCAGGAGATTCTAGTAAGTGCACAGAGCCCTGATTGTTGACCAAAGTACGTCACGTCTCAGGTAAGGGCCTAAGAAACGAGCTCGGGCTCTTCCGTGTCAAAGCCATTTCACTTTCCCGATCCTGTCTGCCCTGCGGCTCCCCCACACATCCTGGGGTTCCAGCTCCAAACACTGTTTCTCCAGCAGACTTCACTCCTGTTAATCTATACTGTTGCCCATGCTGTTCGTTTGACCCAGAACTCACCCGGCCTCCTAGGCCTCCTAGGAGGGAACTCAGGTTCCCTCCTCCAGGAAGTCTGCCTTGATTGCCGCACTTAGAGGCCCCTTGTCTGCCTGTGAGCTCTAACAGCACCTCCTACGGCCCAGCCTGATCCCACAGGCCCCCTGAGCTAGGTCGGGGTGACTAGGCCACCTTTCCCCGACTGCGTGGCTGCCAGGCCAGCGACCTGCCCTGTTCTGTTTGGGGAGCACGAGTCTGCTGCAGACCGCCGGCTCACAATCTACTTGCTGACCCCTAATTCCCAACCGAGACGGACTTTGTGAGAAGAGAAGGGGCGCGAGAGAGGAATGAGGGGCAGCAGCGAGGGGAGAGAGACAGACAGACACACACTCGCGCGCGCGCCTGCGCAGGGGCTGACCGAGGCTCCGCCCTTCCCCGGAGGACTGCTGACAGCTGTCCTGGCCGGCCTCAGGGGCACTTCCCTGGCACTCAGGAAGGTCTGGGTCCCGAAGCCAGAGGCAGGAGGCGGCCAGCTGTAGGGATTAGCTCGCTCTCTGAGAGGATGTCTGCACAACAGGCGGTGCAGGCTTCTGTCGGCCAGGACGTGAGGCCCTTGGCCTTGTCTGGCGGAGGCTTGGAATCCGTCTGTGTCTGGGCTGGAACAAAACCTCCGCCTTCCCTCTGTTCAGTCCAATCCTGCCCTTCTGTTCAGCTCAGCCCACCGTGGGAACCCATCAGGGCCTAGGTTCGAGGCCCAGCTTGGCCACAGACCCGCGCTGAGACTTGGAGCGAGTCCCTTCCTGGTCCGGGTTCAGCAGCATCTGTGCCCCAGTAGCGCTCTGCGGCCTGTACTTCCCACAATCCCGAGCGCCCCGCCGCCCCAGCTTCAGTTCTGCCGGCTCTCTAGGTCTGTGCCCCGCGCCCCGCTGCCTCGGCTGCCCGGCCCGGCCGGCCTTTCCTCCTCGCACCTCCCCCCGACAGCTCTGGCCCGAGAGCCGCTCCCACCCGCTCTCCTCCCACTCTCTGCGGCTGGGTCCTGTCATCCCGCGGACCAGGACAGGGACCGGGCTGCCGGCTCCCCAGCCCGTCTGGGAGCTCGGGTCTGGGCCCGCAGGATGCTCTGTGAAGATGGGGCGATCATTTGGCTTTGACCCCAACTCCTCAAAACTCAGCCTCGGTGGACTGCCATGGAGGCTCTGACGTGCTCCCTGCTGGAGGGACTGTAGCGGGAACGTGATCAGGATGCTCTCTTCCCAGGGACAACTGACGAGACCAGACCTAATGCGCAGGCCGACTGAGTGGTACAGTGGACCCCCTTATCCGTGGTCTCGCTTTCTGTGGTTTTGGTTACCCACGATCAAAGGCAAGACATTCTGAGCCAAGGAAGCAGTGAGCAAAGTTACATTCTGGTGCAAGTGCCTTATCTTGTTATGGATAGATCACGCCTTGCGCGTGAGCTACCCTGAGGGGCGGGAGTTCCGTAACTGGGAAAATGCTGAGATTCCAAAGGGCTTCCCAGATACTTAAGAGTAAAAGTAAATAAAGAATTCAAATACAAATACAAAAACAAACAAAAAAAAAGGCAGCAAGTAATTAAGAAAAACAGGTGCTCTCCAACATAGAGGGATGTCAATAGACGAGGCAGGACGATGTCATCTTTAATTCTTTCAGCACAGGGGGATGTCCCCGAAGCGCATGTATTTGAACAGAATATTCACGGTTAATACATTCAGAAGCAAGCTCTGCAGGAAGCAGAATCACCCAGGAATAAGGGAGAGCTAGCTGGGCTCCCATTCCTCGGACTTGCAAACTGGTCTCCTTGCCCTTTCTCTCCACTGCCACACATAACTGAGGCCTCTTTGTCACCGTGCTCCCTGCCCCAGCTGGAGAGCCAACCTGTCCTCCGTGGGGACGGTTCCGCACTCCTGCCCTCTATCCTGAAGGCTATTCCCCCACTGGGGGGAATTCCCTGTGTCCTTGTGGGAGCACCTTCTCATGGGGCAGCTCAGAGCGGGAAGGTTCTAGTTCCTCTTTGCTCCTCAGTTGCCTGACTGGAAGAACACATACCCTCAGTGCCATGGCAAAGGTCCTTGTATCATGACCCATACAGAAATGCTCGCTTGTCCCCTTCCCCTCCTGGCTCCCTGGGGGCAGGCGAGACTCACAGACGAAGAGGTCCGGGTCCTGAGAGGTTCAGGGGCTTGACCAGGGTCATTCAGCTTGTGGGCAACCTGGCTGGCATGAGCACGGGCTCTGGGTGACTCCCAGAGACTGTCTCCATGTTCCACACTTCAGCCTCGGCCCCTTACCTGGCCAGACACTTCTCCTCCGCAGCACAGCGCAGTGAGTACAGATGGGCTCTCTGCACGTAAGTGGAGGCTTGCACGTAGTTGGGGTCCGGGACCAAGTCAGGGAGACCTGGCGATGGAGTGGGAGAGATGGAGGAGGGGCGTCAGGCTGGCCACGGCTAATGCCCAGAGACCTCCCCAGCCCCAACCGCCCTTTACCATTCTCCTTCCTCTACACAGGCTGTCGCCTCTTCCAAGAAGCTTCCTAACCTGAGCTAGGGGTGTGATTGGAACGATTCCCTCTGGGCTCAGGTGTGGGCCGGGGACGTCAGGGAACGGGGGCTCACTTCTGGAGCTCCGTGCTGTGGGAGCCTCTGAGACCCCCTGAAAGAGCTGGGACAGGAGCGAGGTCTGGGAGGCAGGATGGAGTCTGGTGAGCCAGAGAACAGGGTAAGGGTACACTTGGCAGGGCAAGCCGCATGAACAGGGGCCTGGAGGCAGGACTGAGTGAACCAAGCAATTTCCTGACAGAGGCACTCCCTCCATGTCCTTGTTCGCCAGGCCTCTGGACACCAGCCCCCAGATGCCCTCTGCAGCCAGCATTCTTCCTGAATCACCAAGAGAGCCCTGGGCTCTGGCCCCAAGTGGCTCCCAGAAAGCCCACGGGCAGAGCCAGGTGAGTATTGGCTGGCACAAGCGGGGTGGGCAGGAAGGGAAGGGCAAGCGGGAAAACACACCCGTAGAGTGGGCTGCTGACAGGGCAGGATTCTCGGCCTGGGCACCTAGCCCGACCTTCTCAGGATTTCTTTCTTCTTGCCATCGGCCCCCAGACCTAACCGCACCCTCGCCTGTCTGCATCCTCTGGCCTGCAACCTGAGGGGCCTGGCTGCCTCCCCTGCAGGGCCCAGGGGAAGTCTGGAGTCTGCTCAGACCCCGTGATCACTTGCTCCCGGGACATGCTAGAGCCAGGGGCCTGTCCATCTGGCACTTCCCCCACCTCCGTGCCTGCGGTGGTCCCGGGGAGCGTGCGTTAATAGGAATTTGCAGACACCAAACTCACATGTCCAGACCCTGTCTGCATTGGAATAAAGAAGGAACGGATCTGCTCTGGTTGCTGGGAGTGCAGGAGTGGTGGGGCACAGGGCGGGCTGGGAGGTGGGCAGAGGACTCCAGAGCCCTGGGCTCTCCCCCAGCTTGGCCATCGACTTCAGGGTGAGTGAGCCTGGGGCCTCTCTGTCCCCTCGCCCTCAGGCTCCCAGCATTTTGGCAGTTAAGCGAGGACATGAGGTTACAGGTTGCTCTTGACTTTCTTCCAAGCCCTCTGCTCTTGGGGGGCAAGTAAGGTGCGGGTGCTTGAGGCACACAGACAGCAGTCCAGCTCCTCTGGCCAGCTTTCAGGTTCCGAAGGTGAGGCAGACCCTCACACACCCATCCCTTGGGCTCCGAGACCCCAGCCCGGCTCACCCTGGGCCTGGGCCTCACGCGGGAGCCTGGTCCCGGCAGCCGGTATGATCTCACCTACTCGGAATGAAGAGGAAGCTTGGAGCACAAGGGTGGGTGAGGATGAGGTGGCTCCTGGCTGAGGGGGGCCGTCTTGGCCAGCCGAGGTCCCATTACTCAAGCTCCAGGAATGCCTGCAGTCATTTCCCCGGGGATCCTTGGGCCCTCAAAGCAAGGGCCCACCTCGCTGCCAAGCCACTTCTCACCCTCTGGTACCCGGAAGCCTCTGGTGGGGGGAGGTGAGGAAGACAGGAGTGGTCCCCTTCCCTATCATCAAAGTGCCTTTCCCGCAGCAGCATGTGGGGGTGGGTTCGCTGGGCCTGAAGCCTCGTGAGACCCAGTATTTGGCACCAGATGGCCTGCCTCCCCCACCCCAGGCCCGGTTTCAATAAACAATGCACAGATGGCTCCTCAAAGCTTTTCTGGCCCGACCCTTCCTCTCTAGGCCATTCCAGGTGCTGGCTCTGCAGTCCAGGGAAGTTCGAAGAGCCAGCTGAGTAAGAGGCCAGAGGTATTAAGGGCCAGCGAGGGCTGGTGCCCCTCCTGGCCTATGACTGAGCCCCAACCCTGGTCCTGTACCGAGTCCAACCACACTGAGGTTGGATACTGTCAACAACTCTGAACCTCAAACTCTTGTTTGTCCCCAGACTATGTACTAAAAAACTCTCTACTTAAAAGTTTTTAAGGAATTGCTTTGACATCATGAATCCTTTTTATTGTAACTGAGTGGGTGGGTTTTGTTTTATTTTGTTTTGTAAGTTCCAAAGCCACGGGGGAGGGGCATCTGCAGCACCTACATGTGGGGATTTGGGAGGAAGACTATGGACAGACACCTCAGAACTGCTCCTCACAATCTGAGCCCTGGCCCTGGCCCTAGATGACCATCTTCCTCTTACTGTTGATGAATCTCAGGTTCACAGGTACCTCCTGCTCCAGGAAGTCCTCCCTGACTGGCAGTGCTATTCCAGGTCGCACGTCGGTCTGTCCCACCACTAGATCCGTCTTGATCTACAATTAGATTTCGTTGTATTTACCTGGGTCTACTCCCCTCCAGACTCTGCACGCTCTGAGGGCAGGGACTAGGTCCCACTTACCCCGTTAGCAGGCAACCTACCATGCTTTGGGGCTGACTGCTTGCCCCATCACATTGGCCTCTGCCAGGCAAGTTTCTTTAATGATTAGTGGCTTAATGTTTTACTGTCCCAGTGATTGAGGGTGCTCTGCACCCTGTCCCCCACAAGACACCAGGGCACATGGAGGTGCTGGAGGGATCAAGGCTCAGAGAGGGCGATGAATTTGCCCATGGTTGTAGAGTGAGTGGGGGCAGCCCTAGGAGAAGCTCCCCACCCCCTCCCAGGGCTCCACTTACTACTCTTTTTATAAAAATGAGCTTTTTGGAAGTATAATCTAATCACAGAAATGCAGACTTAAGGTTTACAGTTTGATAAATTTTGACAAACGGTGCCACGGTGTGACTACGGTCGTCATCAAGCTCTGCATTGTTTCCATCATCCCTGAAAGTTCCCTCCTGTTCCTTCCCATTAATGCCCCTTACCTCCTCCACCACCCCAAGCAACCATTACTCTGCTTTCTAATCACTGTAGAGAGTTATGCCTTTTCTAGACCCTAAATGGAATCACTCCTACCATTATTTTATTTTCTTTGTTCTGTATCTCTGGCCATCACAGAGGTCCTGTGTCTCTCCTAACTGGCTCCCCCTGGCCATGCTCCACCTCTGTCACGCTGGGGGAAGCTGCTGGAAAAGAGAGTAGTCTCGGAGTTCAGGATGGGTTCCCCTACCCTGGTCAGAGGAGGGGACCCCCTGCAGAGGTCCCTGGGCACTGCAGGCCCCTCCCTCAGCTAGAACAATGCCTCCTTCTCCACCTGCTCTCCTATGAGGTATTCCATTAGCTTCCATGAGCAGTGGGCCCCCAGGCTTGGGCTCTTAGCCCCAGGGGGCTGGGACTTGGAGGGCACCCTGTGTTGTTAGAAGCAGCGGAGGAAAGGCGTGAGCAGGGGCTTGTGGATGGAGGGATAGGGGATTGGTTTGCTGTTTCTGGCTTAGGGGGTCCAACCAGGCCCTCCAGGCAAGATGGCCCATGTTGCCTGAAGTGCAGCTACAGCGGGACCATGTGCCCACCCCCCACCCCAAGAAGTGTACGGAAGATCCTTGAGAGAGGGTAAGGCTTACTCAGCAGGGAGAAGCCTCAGTCATGGAGATGTCATTTTGAGGAGGGGCTGGAATCTTTTATCCAGAAAATATAGAATCATCCAGCCCTGGGACCTGGCACTGGAGACTCTATATAAAGTGGGTTCCAATGAGAACATCTCCCAGAGACCCCCATTTGTCTAAATGCAGACACTGAATTAATTATAATTCTCACGTCAGAGCAAACTAACCATTATCGCTGGTCTGGACAAGGCCCCTCTCTTGGAATAACATTTTTTTTTTTTTTGACCATCATCATCACCCGACCCTCCGACGGATATCCTTGAACATTTGTACCTCTATATAAAATCCGCAGTGTGTTGGAGGTAGGCATGCATCCTTGAAGTATATAAGTGATACTGTCTTAGAATCTCATTCCATTTCTTGATTTTTCAGTCAATGTATGAACTTTTAAGGTCTACCTAGCTCATGATTTGTCATGGCTAAATAGGAATCCACAGTGTGCGCCCTCCGTGGCTAATACGGCCAGTCTTCTTGTGTTGGGCCCCCAAGGTGGGGCCAACCACGGAGAGTCCAGGTGTACGGTTTGCTCAGGCTACCCAAGGAGTCCCTGGTCACCATCAGCATCCCGCCTTCCCCTCCTAGGAGGGAGATAGGAGCCTTGCTGCTTACCCTCCGTCACAGACTTTCTGTGGGAACTGGGGCTGGCCTGCCCCCTCTTCAGGCCCCACTGCCTCCACTTCTCCAGCTCTGTCCTCTATCCCACTTAAGGCCTGGAAGAGCTCTGGGCCAGGCCCCTGTGGGCACTGTTCCCCAGAAGCAAAGTGCTGACCATGGGGTTTGGGCCCACAGGGACCCAGGCTACAGTCTGGGCCAGGGATGGAGGGACACTGAGGCAGAGGGCAGTAAAGGCCCTTGGGAAGGCTGAAGCCAGGCTGCTCTGCTGGGGAGGGGTGGGTGTAAGTGAATCGGGTCCCAAGGCCATTCTGCAGGCAGCCTTGGAGGGGGCCCCGTCAGACCCTCCAGGGCAGGCAAGACCCAGAGCCCAGGATAAGGACCTTCTGCATTCTGCATTCCTGCTCCATCCCTGGAGCTTCCTCTGGGAGGGGGAGGGGATCCAGGCCCCTTCATAAGGCGCTCAGGACTAGCCTGCCATGCTCCCACCCCAGGCTGGCCCACATGTCAGCCTGCGGGAACCTGAGGCCTGTCTCCCTCTTCTTCCCTGGCAGGACCTGGCTGGGGCCTTCTCTGGGAAGGACTCCAGAAGGCAAGTTTGCCATTTCCTTCAATCCCCTGGTGTATAAACCCTTCCCTTTTCTTAGGCTCAGTTTCCCCATCTGGATGATGGAGAGACTACACTAACCTGCCTGTGAGCAGTAAGCAGTTCGGCAGTTCGACGGCTTCAAAAAACACTTGGGAGATGATTTTCAGGAGCTCCTCAGTCTCTTCCCCAGCCTCGG